GGTTTTATCTAGGATTACTCCTAGATATTTGACTTCCTTTGAGAAAGGAATTTCTTCACCTTGGATAGTTGAGCGGATTAGTTTACCAACTTTCGTTTCCTGGTGAAGGGCACAACAATTGTCTTTTGCGGGTTTATCGAGAGGTTCTCTCCCTTACACCAAGCGCAAATGGTATCTAGGGTAACCTGGAGGACTTTAGATATCCTCGACAAACAGGTTCCTTTGACCATAACGACAATGTCATCAGCATAAATTTTTATTTCTACACCAACGGCTTCGACCATCGCAATCAAATCGTCAACCAGGAGGGACCTATTCCACTATCAAGCATATTGCGGATCCAACCCCCTATAGTTGCTTCCACTTCCCTGTGCAAGAGCAGCTCTTTCAAGAGATTGTGGTAGTACGTTGTTGAAAGCTCGTTCTATATCCAGAAACGCGCAAACCAAGATTTCTTTATTCTGCAGCGTCCTGGATACTCTACAAACTAAGTTGTGTAGAGCCAATTCTGCTGATTTTCCCGCTTGATAAGCATACTGGTGACGACTCAGTGGACCAGATACCAATGGCACCGTACGGATATACCGTTCCAGAACTTTTTCAAGGGTTTTCAGCAAAAATCACGTTAGGCTGATGGGTCGAAAGCCCCAGTAATTAAGTTCAGTATGCAGTGATTGATTGCATTATCTACTTGGCTGATTGATAAAGCATGTTTACTTTTGATAAATGATTTGATAAATGTTTTAACACAAAACTTACTATATAAAGTTAGACCGATGGGGGTCTTGTGCCCTTTAAGGTTTCCCTTGTTTGCTTTGCTCCCGATTACAATATATGCGTCCCTTAAGTAGCAGCGGCAAGTTCGAAATGACATCGAGTTGTGACATCACTTCGAACTTGTTTCTGAAGCAGATTGCAAGGAGGTGTACAAGAAGAACGTGGAAGTGAAGGGAGATATATCGTGAAATGAGTTCGATAGGGAGATCGTTTAAGACGGAGAAGAGGGATGAAAAGGTTTCTCACCGTGTGATAAAAGTAGTGGGAAAGCCGAAAGCACTAATTGTACGGTAAACCATTCGAAAGGTTGATCTGTTACTGGAGAACCTATCTCTTTTATTGAACAAAAAGTGGAGCTAACACCAGGACTATAACTAGAACTAACACTAGACCTAGAACTAGACACTTTCGCGTTAGCCATGCATCTTTTGAAAAGGCGTTTTTACGTGATGAATGCCATGTTGCAACCTTCTTCAGAAATTAGTTTGGATTGTTTGGATGCAACATGGGATCCGGAACGTCAAACGCGTTTTCAAAAGAACCACTACTTAACGCAAAATTTCTAGTTCTAAGTCTAGTGTTAGTTCTAGGTTTAATTTAATCAACAAAATGTTATCCGTAACCCAACTGTGACTATAACCAACCGAGCAGATACATTTCACTTTTAAAACACTCAAAATCAAGAATGATACTAATAAAAATTGTTCATAAATTACAATAATATTACCCATAAACACTTTCTTTCCAACATGTAGGGTTGGTGTTTGTATTTCCGAAATTCACCAACTTGTCTTGATTTGCGATTCATCGTCGATTCCACGAAACCAGAACTTAGATTGCTAGTTTCAGACGTCTCCAATCTTGTTGACACAATTAACGTTCCAGATTAGATTTAGATAATTTCTCTCAAGTAACTTCGGAACATTTTCATTATGTATTTTATCAATTAAAGGTCATTTAGACAAGACATGAAATACTAGTCACGCCAACTCTCAACGGAGAGAAGAAGAAGAAAAGGCAAGAGATTGCGATATAAGGAAATAAGGTGCTTGACATTCTCGGTCCGGTAAACCTCACCGAGAGTGAGGGTTTAGTTTAGATTCCGTCCCAAATATACACTTCGAACCGAATATAGTTAGGAGACAAGGGAATTGTATTTTCCAGCATATCGACCTCGCCAACAAGATTTTCCGTTGTTGCTTACTCGTTATTTTATCACCTTTAAAACGATAAATTATTTCAATAGCTATTTTTGGTAGACAAATCTTGAATACGATTCCACGTTGTATAATAATGTCGATGAGCAATTTCTGTGCAAACAATGACTCTGGTTTAAAAGAGAGATTCGCGCTTGGACCGATTTGTGCGGGTATAATTATCCCTCCAAGGGATTTACTAACGGGTTGAACACCGCCGGCTGTTCGGTTAAGTAAACGCAGTCGGGGACTCGTTGCCCTCTATGCGAGAATCGAGGTCGGTACGCGAAAATCGATAATTGCATGTGGTAAAACGACGCCAACGGCTGGGACCCCAACGTTGACACACAACAATCGCGTCTCGTTAGTTTAGGGTTTTAGTTGACGTTAAATTTTCGATGATGATAACAGCAATGGGCGAATTTAATTTAAGCCCCGGTACACTTAACCGCTACTGTCAATAGTTTAACCAAGACGTTACAATGTTGGTTAATAAACGAGACCTTTTAAGTTATTAGAAAATAAATAACACAGATATTTAAATTCGTCGAAACGAAAATTTAAAGAATTAGGTCGACGTAGATTTTTTTGTAAACGAGAATTAATTTATACAAATGTACGACTCGTTCCTGAAAAATTCAAAGGGAAAGTTTTTCGCTCTGAATTTATTCAGTAAACCAAGTATGAAAATTTATGCTTTTTTTTCAATCCAAACAAAACGGAACTGGGACATTTCCGTGACTATTACGGGCAAAGCTATTTCGTTACTTCCTCCTGGACTACTCATTAAGCTTAGACATTTTCATCTCCACGATAATGCAGAAATCGTGTATGTTGAAATCATTTTTCAATACCTGATAAATCTAGTAATCGGTGAAAATAATACAGAATGCATTTCGAAAGATTAAATTTTATTTAAAAATTTGTTCTCAACGACCGGTTTCGATTCTATAATCGTCTTCAGGTTGTTCGTTACGAATTAAAAAACAAATATTGAAAATTTCACAAAAACGCATTAAATCAATTAACAAGTATTTACCGTCAAAAGGGAATTCAATTCTTGAAGAAAACTTGGAGGCATGTCACTGTTGTGTACCCGATCAATAAAACCCACATTAGAACTCTAAATATACTATATTTCCTTTAATAACTTAGTAACTAACAATAATACACAGCTTTACAAGTCACTCTGTTTTCCGACGCTTCGTTCTTTGTAGAGGGCGCGCGCGTCTGTCTAAATACATAACATTACACCCTCCTTCGTTACAAATCTAGTTTTTGTGGTGCCTTTATGATTCTTTTAGATCGACGTAAGTTAGGGGTTTTAGGAGATTTGGGAGTAGAGGGGTGATCTGAGGAATCCGATTCTGGACCTGTGGTATTTAGATTTCTCCATTGTCTCCATAGTCACAGGTACCTCATTATCTGTCTTATCTTCATTCTTCTCTACTGGTGTTGGTAAACTTTGTAATAACCATTGATATCTCAAATTCTTCTCATCCTCTGATATATTTTCACTGTGTTGATTTTTACTTTTATCTATTTTCAAATGATCCACATGCATAAATCTAGTTTCATCATCAAATTGCACCATGTAAGTTCTATAACTCTTCCTTTGTATTATTTTTCCTTCCCTCCAATGTCCCAATCTTCCGCCCAAATTAATAAACGCCAACATTTTATCATTTATATTAAATTCCGGTTGTCTCATCTTCATCATCATTGCCTTTTCTTCATCTTTAACAGCATGTGGATAAATCAATGTAAGGAGTGTTCTCGGAACATACTTGAAAACAAGTTCTGTAGGCTTGAGTCCAGTTACAGTATTTGGCGTGTTTCTATGTTTTAAAAGAAAATTATCCAATAGTAGTTGTAGAGATTTTCTACATTGTCTTTGTTCATTTTCCCTTAATTGTGTTGCCAAATTTTTCTTAACTGTTGCTACATTTCTTTCTGCTAACCCATTAGATTGAGGGTGGTATGGAGAATGTGTTAGCAATATACCGTTTATGGTGGTCCATTATCTGTGACTAATTGCTGTGGCAACCCAACAGTGGCAAAAAATGATCTTAGGGTAATTATTAACTCTTCCGCCGTTGTATTTTTCATTACTTTTACTTCCAACCACTTACTGAAGCTATCCACCAGCAACATGAAATATTTCCCACACTTCTGAAAAAAATCTAAGTGCACTCTCTCAAAACATCTGTTTGACTTTGGCCAAGGTACTATAGTCGTTGTTGATGATTTGCCATGGGTAAATTTGCAAACATCACATTTATTGCAATACTGCTCTATATCTTCATCCATCAGAGGCCACCATAAATTATTTCTTGCCAACATTTTCATTCTTACCATGCCAATATGTTGATCATGGAGGAGTTCCAAAATTCTCATTCTCAATTGGTAGGGAATCACAACTTGATTACCAAGTAGAATATAGTTCTCTTCGATAGACAATTCATTTTGTTTCCTGAAATAAGGCTTAATATTGTCATTTTCAACTTTCATAGAAATTTATAGAAATGTGCATCCAGAATATTTATATCAATTTCCTCGATAAGTTCCTTGTTAATGAGCGGCAACCTTGATAGACAATCAGCGTTTCCTATTTCTTTTCCTCTTTTATATAAATCAGTTTCGCCTCATCTCATCCCACCATAGCATCCTCTTAAAGTTTTCTAATTTTTAACATTCCACACTTTTTAACGTCGCCATTTTTCATCTTTTATTTTCATTTTGTGTATCCATCAGATAACAAAATGTTTTATTCTTATGCGATTTCCAGTCTACACCTATTATAGCTTCATTGACTTTGTCGCTGATGATGGAGTAACCCGAAACTAGTACGACTTTATATAAATAAATGCAAGTTAGAAGTTTTTACATGATTTTTATTTTTTTATTCTTTTATATAAGATTAATATTTAATTTATATAATTGTATCCTGACAAGATAATGGCCCATCTCTGTAATCTTTGAGATGCATGAATAGGTAAACCATTCTTTTCTCTTAATAATATCTTTAGCGGTTGGTGATCACTAATCAATTCAAATGGTTTTCTATAAAGGTATTTATGGCATTTTTGTACTGTGAAGATGATTGCCAATGCCTCCTTTTGAACCTGAGCGTAATTCCGCTCAGTATCGGACAACGTTCTAGAAACAAACATAACTGGTCCCACACCTTCAACAATTTGGATCAACACTCCCCCAACTCCTGTTTTAGATGCATCGCAAGTAATGCGTGTAGGGTATTTAGGATTAAAATAATCAAGTGTAGCATTGGACTTTACTAGACTTTACTTTTGTTAAATGCTTTCTGACATTTTTTACTCCAGTGAAAAGGAATATCCTTTCGCTCTAGATCATATAGTGGTTGCAATAGAGTTGAAGCGTTTGGAATGAACTTATGGTAATAGTTTAAAAATCCCAAATAAGAGCGCAACTCAGTCAAATTTGTGGGGGCAGGTGCTTGCATTAACGCTTCTATTTTATTTTCTACAGGGTGAATACCATTAGCATCCATTTTGTAACCCAGGAACTCAACCGACAATTTATTGAATTGACTCTTTTCATAATTGATGATTACATTATAATTCTCAAGTTGTTTGCACACGGCATCTACATTTTTCTTCAATTCCTCTAATGTACGACCTGCTACGATAACATCATCTATATAGCATGCGGTCATTGGTATATCTTTCAAGATCTGGTCCATAATGGATTGAAATATACTTGGTGCTGAAGTGACACCAAATGGTAGTCGATTATATTCAAACAATCCAAGGTGGGTATTAATTGTCAAATATTTCTTACAATTAGGTTGAACTTTTAATTGTAAATAGGCATTTTTTAAATCGATAATAGTGAACTGCTTACCTCCAGCCATCGCATTAATCACGTCCTCCATTAAGGGTAATGGATAATGGTCTTTCTTCACATTAGGATTCAAGGTATTCTTAAAATCGACACAAAGACGAATTTTCTTCTCTTCATTATTTGTGGATTTCTTCTTAACAATAACAATCGGACTTGCCCATTCGCTGTGACGTACTGGGCTTATGATATTTTCCTTGACCAACCTCTTTATTTCCTTTTCAATTAACTCTCTCTGTGATATAGGAACTGAATAGGCTTTATGGAATACAGGCAAGGCATCATCTTTTAAAACAATTTGCGCCAGAAAATGTTTTATACAATTATTTTCATCTGTTTTGAACTTACTTTTTTCATTATTTACACTATTACTACTATTACTGTTTTCTAAACTTTTATTTGACATATTTTTAATTATTGTGTCAACTTTTACCCTATTGATCGTTAAATTTTGTCGCCATTCGGGGACCAATACATCTAACCAGGGACGACCTAATAAACTAACATTTTTTTCATTTATAATGACTAACGGCAATAATACTTTTTGTTTATTTTTAGTAGTTACCCTAACATTGGTCTGACCTGCAACTTTTAATTTATTACCACAAACCGACAAAAGTTGTTTTGGACAACTCTGTAATTTACAATTTGGTAATATCATATCAAATTTGTCTTTAGATAGTATGCTAACACTAGCACCAGAATCGACCTCCATCGTTACTAATTTTTTGTTAATACTTATCTTACTAAATAACTTACCATGAACTGTATTAATATTTATTTGTTGCATCGCTAATTCACACTCATCACTGCTCTGTTCACTTGTGTCATCGGACTCCACTTCTGACTCCACTCCATGTATTCTTTTTTTCTTCCTGCAGCATGTCGCTGTGACCTCTACCTTGACAGGCATAACATTTCCAATTAATTGCCGGACAATTCTCATGATCATGGTTACTTCTCCCACATCTATAACATTTCTTCTTGTTTTCCCTTGCGCTTGACCTTATAGACTGATCCTTTTTATTAATCTCGACTTGACATTTCTTTCCTATATCTTTTCCTTGACTACTTGACGACTTTCTTGATACATATGACTCTTTTTGACATTTGTTATATTTAAGATTGATTCGCCTAACACCCATGTCAGACGTTTTAAATTCTTTCACTTGGGAATCGGTTAACTCCATATTGACTGCATTTTTTTTGCGTTTTCCCATGTTAAATTGTCTTCCGCCAACAATTTTTTTTGAAGTGCCAATGATTTTATTCCTTCTACGAATCTATCTCTCAGTGCTTCGTTCAGGAACACCCTAAAATTACACGTATCTGCTAACTTCTGTAACTCTACGACATATTCACTAATATTCTCATGTTCTTCTTGATTTCTTTTATTAAATTTGAATCTTTCGGCAATAATAATTTCGCCAATTATGTTGTGTACCCGATCAATAAAACCAACCCACATTAGAACTCTAAATATACTATATTTCCTTTAATAACTTAGTAACTAACAATAACACACAGCTTTACAAGTCACTCTGTTTTCCGACGCTTCGTTCTTTGTAGAGAGCGCGCGCGTCTGTCTAAATACATAACAGTCACTTCTATTTATTATGCTACAGAGAAGATTCTTAGAAGTTATGTCGTGTTCACTTGTCAAACTATTGTTAAATTATACAAAATAAACGTTAAAACCTATTAAAAACTCCTTTTACATTTAAACAATTGCAGATGCAAAGTTTTTAGATCTAGGATGTTCGAAATTATTATAAAATAATCTTTTTGACTATACAATAAATCTTCATCAACAGCGCTGTAGGAATGTCAAAATAAGTATCGGACAGAGGAATTAAAAAGGAAATTACATTTTACAATGGCGCGAATTTTAAATTAACATTGGAATTTAATTTATTAAAAGCTTCTATAAAAATGTGATTTCTGTTGGTTTCAGTAATTCATTTAACATCTTATCTTCTTCGTAGTATTTATGTCTGAATATTTCCCATTCTTCATACAGATCCAGACTTTTTGATTTTGGAATGTTATGTAAAAGTGTTATTGTGTTTGTAGACTGTGTTGTTGATACTATATGTTTATTTACGGCTGAATTATTATTATTTAAGTGTTCATTTAGTCTAGTCCTTCGGTTTCGACCAGTTTGACCTATATAATAGTTATCGCACTCGTTGCAGTTAATTTTATAGACACCATTCTTTTGGTTATTATCTATTTTTTGTTTAGAATTTATTATAATATCTTTTAGTTTTGTGTTGTTCTTAAAAACGATTCCCAGATCAAAAATGTTGAAACTATGTTTGATATTATTCAAATAATGGTGAGATGCAATAGATATAAAATTTTGTTTTTTAAGTTGGTGTGGATAGATTTCTTTTATGACATTTTTATGATGTATCTTTTTATAAACTTTTTTGTATAAATTCTATATTGTATCCATTATTTAATACTATTTTTATAATGTGTTTTATTTCATGATCAAAATCTTTTTTTAGCATAGGAGTGTTTTCGCTCTGTTGAATAAAAAACGAAAAACTGCTTCCTTGTGTTGTAGACAGTTGTATGAAGACTTGGGTGTAATGATATCTGTTGTTGTAGGCTTCTGATAAATGCCGAAGTTAATTGAGGTAGTGTGAAGATCTTTTTCCATTTTCAAATCTAAAAAGTTCAATCTGTTTGTTTTTCTCTTTTCTATTGTAAACTCCAACTCACCAAGATTATTCAGTATATTATGTATTGCAATTAATTTATCATTTCGAGATGATCAACATATATACCTGCTAGTAGTCCTGATAGAGATGAGCCCATAGGCAGGCCATCAGACATTTTATAAAATTTATCATTGAAGTAGAAAAAGTAACCAGTTTTAAAAGTGTTATATGTAATATTAGATATATCTGTTTTCGTTATATCTTCAAAATCGGAATAATTGTTGAGAAGAAAATCTTCTGAGTTTTGGTAATGGGTATATTTGAGTATAGGTTTTTTATATCGAAGGATACAGACAGTAGTTGTGTTCTTTTGTTGACATTGATATTTTTTATTTTGTTAATAAGGTCTTTAGAATTCAAAATAGAGTACTTGGCTTCAGTGTCGGCGCTAGCAAATGAAGCGCCAGGGTGCGGGAACCGGAGTGGCGCCCCCCAAGCATTTTGGGCGGAATGCGGGGGGGGAGGCGCCTAAAATGTGGGGGAAAAATTAAAAATTCATTTTAATTTAAAAAAAATATATATAATCAAAGAAATATAAATAAACTTAAAAAAGACTGGAATAATCATAATCCATACTTCAGCAAAAATGTAAGAATTATACTGGTGAAAATCCAAACTTAAGGGAATAGTCGGGAATACTCTGGTCAGAAGTTTAATTTGCAAGAAAAAGTCTGAAATTGCAATAGTTATAAACTAGACTTCAGCTAAAAACAGGAATTACATTGTTCAAAGTCCACATGAAGTCTGAAATTACTGTTCAGAGAAAACAAAAAATTGATTAGAAACCAAACATGATTTTTCATGGCAATACTTATGTGTTCAATAAAAGAATGCGAAGAATATGAACAAGAAACCAATGGACTTGTCTTGTTATTGCACAGGACAGGAAATCACCAAAACGGAAACTTTGCCAATGCAGGATAAGCACAAAAGCAAAGTAACAGCTGCAGAAATGAGGTACCGGGTGGTACAAGATCCGTATAGATAATAAGAGGCTTCCAAAAAGATGATGATAGTTACCCAGAAAGAAGTAGCTGCCAGTATCAAGAACAAAACATACATAACGTAGGCAGAAGATTAGATACTGCTTCTAAAAAACTAAATACTGCTTTCTGAAGACTAGATACTGCTCTGGAAGATTAAATACTGCTTTCTGAAGACTAGATACTGCTCTGGACGATTAAATACTGCTTTCTGAAGACTAGATACTGCCGACAGGTCTAAATACAGCATCTGGAACACTAAATACTGCCTTCTAAAGACTAAAATTGCTTTGTGGAAACTAAATACTGCTTTCTGAAGACTAGATACTGCTAACAGGTCTAAATACTGCAAAAGAAAATAAAATATTTTGGAGAAAACATACATAACTTTGGCAGAAGACTAGATACTGCTTCTAGAAGACTAAGTACTGCTTTCTGAAGACTAGATACTGCGGACAGGTCTAAATACAGCGTCTGGAACACTAAATACTGCTTTCTAAAGACTAAAATTGCTTTGTGGAGACTAAATACTACTTTTTGAAGACTAGATACTGAAGATAGGTCTAAATACAGCGTCTGGAACACTAAATACTGCTTTCTAAAGACTAAAATTGCTTTGTGGAGACTAAATACTGTTTTCTGAAGACTAGCTACTGCTGACAGGTCTAAATACTGCAAAAGAAAGATAAAATATTTTGGAGAAAACATACATAACTTTGGCAGAAGAGTAGATACTGCTTCTAGAAGACTAAGTACCGCTTTCTGAAGACTAGATACTGTGGACAGGTCTAAATACAGCGTCTGGAACACTAAATACTGCATTCTAAAGACTAAAATTGCTTTGTGGAGACTAAATACTGTTTTCTGAAGACTAGCTACTGCTGACAGGTCTAAATACTGCAAAGGAAAGATAATATTAGTCGTATTTCTACCGCTAATGATAGGTCGGATGCTTTTGTCTTCTTTATGTAGTTTTATTAAACTATATAGAGTTGGAGGTTGAGGATTCATATTTGTAACTTTAAATACGTTTGTATTTAGCTTATTTAGTGTTTCTTGACACTCTTTTAAGATTTTTCTTGTTTTTTTATTGAAAGAGTCTAAAGGATTTTTTGTTAAAATTGTAATTTTATTGTTTGTGAAAAATTCTTCAGTTTTTTTGATATAGGTTGTTTTATCTATTAATACAAGTTCTGAATTTTTATCTCCTAAAGTTATTATATTATCTGTTAGAGCCATTCTATTTTTGAATCTTTTTATAGAATGTAACGGTTCCGTTCGAGGTTATTGAATTTCCTTGTGATTTGTCTGTAATTGTTAGAAGTCGGGGAATTATATACCATTTTGTTTATTTACCTTGTTATAATTTTTGTATATGTACTCGCTTCGGCGGTACATATACAAAAATTATAACAAGGTAAATAAACAAAATGGTATATAATTCCCCGACTTCTAACAATTACAGACAAATCACAAGGAAATTCAATAACCTCGAACGGAACCGTTACAAGAGTCTTTGTATGTTTTATTTTGTTTGTATGGGGGATTTGGTTTTAATAGTTCTGGGTTCGTTAAAATTTGTACAGTAGTTTTTTTGATATTATAATATTCTTTATGTTTAAAAGTTTGACTCTAGATATCTATTGCACAGTCAATTGGTTTGTATGAAGAGTTGGGGAATGTGTATTTATAACCTAAGTTTAGTAAATCTATTTCGTGTTGCTGAAGAATAGTATTTGATAAATTAGTAAATCTAGGAGCATATTCAATGTCATCTAGATTTGAATAATCTATTTTTAATGTAATGTCACCATTGTTCAGAGTTTTAATTAAAAAAAATAATTCCTGATAAATATGTTTTAAACAAAATTCTTGTTTAAACCGTAAAGTATTGATTTTATAATTCTCGGTACTTCACATGACGTCTATATTAATCAATTATTAAGTAGCGAAACGTATACTTAATGTCACTCATCCTACTTGGCCCTTTTCTATAATTGAATAAATTAATCATTACAACCCACGACTTTTCAATTGCTTTGTATATAATTTTGATATAAATCCTCTATGTCATTTATTTTCACAATTTTTGCTTCTTTAAAGGACATTAAAAACGACAATCGATAAAGTTCAAGCTTTCATTCATCGTGAATCCGGTGACGGATACGACGCAAACGAGATCCGATGTTGATTGTTAATTAATGGGGTGTCCTTTGCCGACTGTCCTATTTGCAATTCCAACGGATACGAAATGAATGTTGGTAGAGTAGAAAATCGATTCTTTAATAGGAAAAATACAGCGGCATAAAACAAATTATTGCATAAATAAGACCAATAATCTTTTATATGTAATTTAAACTTGTCCAAACAACTATACATTATATAATCGTTTATCATTGCAGAATAATTTTTTGTACATATTAATTTTTACACACCTCGAACAGCACACGATGCTGACAAGTGGACATAAATTACTTATTACGTGAATCGCTCTGGATGGGGTAGTGAAAAATTGACGTCTGTGTTTGCCCTTTGGGGTAATACATCATGGGGGCAAGTTCGCCCCGCTGCCATGTTATTTACGTCATCCTTTCGAAATGCCATTCATCATATGCACTCTTTGATATGTAATAATTCACGTCCAGTATGTTCGGTTACAGCACCCGGGATCGTAGATCAGATCACCTACAATGTGTCCCATTTCAAC